GGTGGGGTGGGGTGTTTGAAGGGACCAAGCAGGCCGGCTAGCTGGCTGGCTGGTGGGCTGGGCTGCAGGGTTGGGGGCGGAGTGATTTTTTATACCAGATGGTAATGTTTCTCCGGAGACATCTTGCTTTTGATTGTGCACAGGCGCCATGCCGCCAAACCTGGCCGCCCCTCCCCACATATAACACCCCCCCATCAGTATCGCACGCTGCGTGACGTCACCACGCCAGCCTTCCTGGCGTCCCGCCTCGCCGACAAGGCGGTGGTGGCCGTGCTGCTGGTGACGCTGTTCTGGGGGATAGGTGAGAGCAGGCGTCATGCGCACGCGGTCTGTGCACGGAAGCGCAGGAGGCACAGGGTGCCCGTGTTGATGCAATCGGCGTCAGCGGGCGGCCGCCTCCAGCCGGTCCCAATTGAGACCCTGCACAAGCGCGTGCGCCTCAACCGTCAGCCGCTCTTGCACCCTTTCTTTCGTACTGCCTGGGGCGTTGTGCTGTCACGCGTGCACCCACTGTATCTCTGAACCCCCGGGATGATGGACGCCCACAGGGTCGAAGTTTGCCCTGGACAACTACTTCAACATCGCGTCGGTGCTGTTCATGTGGTGCGTGGTGCCCGCGTTTGGCGCGTCCACCTTTGTGCATTCTCTCGTCCTCGGTGAGCAGGGTGGCGCAGGACAGGGGTGGGGTAAACGCGACCGGGGAAGGGCAAGGCTGGAGTGCGTGGTGCAGCGCAACGAGTGTGTGCAGTGGGCAAGGCGCCTCGTGTGGTGCGCATGCACATCAGCTAACCTCGGGGGAGAGGGGAAGTACACGCGTGTGCGCCCCTGCAGCAAGGCTTCCATGCCAAACACCGCGTAGACCGTGTGTGAATCCAAAACAAACACAACCCAACACGCTCTCAATCACAATGCGGCGGCGTTGCCATGACTTGCAGAGCGGCCGCTGTTTGTGAGGGAGCGGCACGACGGGCTCTACGGGGTCGGGACATACCTGTGCTCAAAGATGACTGCAGGTGGGTGCATGCTCTATAGCCTGGTCTGATGGGCAATCGCAGCGCATCAGCAGGCAGCCCTTCGAAGCCATCCATCCGACCAACAGAGTGCCTTGAGCTGCGCTGACAGTTTCAGCGGGCATCTGTTGTCCGGGGCGACGCAACCCCTGAGACAAAAGGGGGCGCTGCGCGCTCATGTGGTTGATGTTGCTGATCCATCAGGGCATCGGCATCTGTGTCAGGTCAAGGGGGTTCCCGCTATTGCTGGGGTTGTGTTTCTAGGCCAATCAGCACGCGCTTTTTCACAGCGCCAACTGGAAGGCTGTCATCACACCCTCACGCAGAGGTGGGCGTGGCTGCGGTCGGCAGCGCGCTGATGTCATCGGTCGTGTTCTATGGGGCCGCTCTCAAGGGCTCGCTGCTGGTGTTCTGGATGGTCTACCTGGCCACGCTCTGTGTCGGCATCAGTGAGTGGCAAGTGCGATGGCACACGTGGCTGCATTTCATGAACCAGTCGGGCGTGTCACGGGATTGCGGGTGACGGTCACCTGCGAGAGCTTGGCAGCGACGGCTGCATTGTTCTATTTGCAATACTCCTGTGCAGCAACATCGCCAGCTATGTGGCACATCGACAGGCTGTGGTATGGCCCAGCACAGTGTGGCTGTGAGTGCTCCGTCCGGCCTGCTGACCCCATTCGCGCCACTACCCCACCTCAACCCCCCCCCCAAAGCCATGGCGTACACGATCGCGGCACTCTCGCCCAACATGGACGTGGCAAACGCGGTGAGTGCCCTCTTATGCGCCAGTGTCCCCAGGACCCTGCAGCATCGGCGGCAAGGCAACCCCGCCCTCAGCAATTACCGCAATCGCGCCGGCAAACGCGCCCGCCCCTTCTCGATGCTTTTCCAACCTTCCCCCAGCACCCCCACCGCCAGCATGCACTCTGACACTTTGCTACCCGCCCTTACCCTGCGCCCGGCCAGGCGCTGCCCACCTACGTGGCCACGCTGACGTTTGTCTCCGGCTTCATCATCCGCTTCGACAACATACCCGTCTGGTGGAGGGTGAGAGCGCGGCGAGGCGCCCGCTATGGCAGCGCAGCTTGCGCCTAAGCAGTTTTCGTGAATCACAGCAGCTGTGTGGGCCCCCAGCCCAACTTCAGTGCGCGGTCCATCACGCGCTCGCCTCTCACGGGCACCATGGGTGGCCCCTATCACTCCCATCACTACGAGCTTGAGGCAGCCCCCTTGCCCTGACACACACCACCTTCATCTTATCTGCTGTCACCGGCTTCGCTCCTTATCAATCCCCTCTGCAGTGGTACAGCCGTGTCAACCCCCTGGCCTACGCATTCACAGCACGTGAGCTACATCAGCAGGGCGCTCGTGCTCACGCTCGCGCCATGCAACCGGCCCTGGCAGCCGCACGTGTGCTTATCTGCATCCGCATGGTGCGCATGCAACATGCACCAACACCTGCCGTCTCACGAGCACTCCCTCAACTCGTCCATCAACCGCAACCCCTGCCCACAGTAATGGCAAATCAATTCAGCAGCCACGACCCCCACTTCATCGGGGGCAAGACGCTGCTCGAGTACTTCTCAATGGCAGGGCAGTCCATCTGGTGAGGCTGGGACGGGACTGCGCTGAGCAGACCGCACATCGGCTGTGGTGCGCCTGGTTCATTGCATGGTCCCGTGCGTTCGCGGACAGACAGGCTCACCGCCGCAGCTTCCAGGCTGCAATTTCAAAGACGAAGCACGCGGCCGATCTGGGGCTCGCTTGCTTCCAACGACTCAGCGGCGATCGCGAATTGGAACACCCGCCACCTTATGTAATAGGACCACGCCCTCAAGCAACCCTCAACACTTCCTGAATTTCTGCAATCTTCCGCCCTAAACCCCGTTCCTAGGTTCAACGTGGGCATTGTGTGGGCGTTCTTCGCGCTCCTGCTGGCATGCGCTTGGCTGGTACTGGCCACCCGGCGGTACTCCAGGCGCTGATGGTGACGACACCGCGACGACGACTCATCCCGCGACGACTGTGACTCTCGGGTCACGCCCGCCCGTCCGTTGCGAAACGCACGCCTTGCCTGCCCATACATATCCGCAACACCAAGGAAGGAGCGGGCATGCTGTTGGCGTGCTGTTGGTAGGCATCATGACTCCAGTGGCACTGCTCCGCTGGTTTTACCAAGACCCTGCTGTTATTCCTTGAGAGGTTTGGAAGGGGGCCTTTGTGTCCACCCGGCGTCAGAAAAATGTGTTGTGATGCACCGCACCCACACACTCCTTACCGCTACTTTGCATGAAGAGGTTGGGTCATGAGCTTTGTTTGAAAGAGTGACCGAGTCTGCCAAGCAATCGCTGGCTTTCTCACCTGAATAGCAGCATGTTCAACTGCCACAACAGTTGCGATCGCGACCCCCTAGCCAAAGCTGGCCTCTTGGAAGCCGCAATTGTGCTTTCCGAGGCTGGTGGTAGCTGTGTGCAGCCTGTTTTGCTGTCCTGGGCCCTGCCCCTCAATCAAAGCAATGCAGTTGTGTGTCAGCATGACGCGTGTCAAAGAGGCCAGCACGGCCGACTACCTTCTATTGTGCATCATTCTCTGCAATGGCCCACTTACTGGGCATGCACAGTAGCCAGCTCGGCGGCTTGCAAGCGGTGCATTGCAGCCACAGGGTTTGACTAAACAGTGCGAACACAAATAATACTTCCTTGTCATGACACGAGCTTGCTGGAGACCTTGCCCTGCATGTCCTCATGCATCTGCACATATATGCGTGTGCATGTTGCCAAGGCCTGGCATGCATGCATCCAGGCCAGTGCAACACACGTGTACATGCGCACGCGTCGCACACACGATTATTGCCACCCAGCCAGATCTGTTTTTGTTGGCGAGTGTTTTACACGTTGGCCCATTGGCGGCACACACGATGAGGCATTGCAAGCCTCCCTGCAGGCTTCTGCCAGTCTCAGAGCATCCTGAGGTGTTTGGGGAATGCACACGCCCGGGTCGTTCAACTATACACTGCAAGAAGAACGAATGAGAGGGGAGCCACGCTTGTTGGCTGGATGCTCTTGTGTTGCAAGCCATCTGCCATTGCAGTTTGGTACTCGGCATCTGTGCGTGTGCGTGTACATACTTCCAGGCCTCTCTCACTGATTAAACAGCCTCAACCAACATCTCGTGCAGGTTCAGGTGGTTCAAAATCAGGGTGTGTGGGATGCAACCTGAAATGGCTTCGGGAGAGGGCAAAGTTGGCACTTATGCACTACCAAGGGTGCTGCTGATCCTGCGGTGACGCCAGCAAGGCAGCGACTGAATCCTCACAGGTGTGCGGACTTGGACGCATCTGATGCGCAAATGTGAGAATCGTCACCCATGTCTGGCCTGCTGTTAGCACAGAACACACGCGTTACTAATTTGGATGTTGCAACGGTGTGTGGTTGATTCAGCACAGACAGACGACACTGCTGCCACTACAAGATTACCTTCTGAGCATGCTCACAACACTACTCTCCGTCCCCCTCACACACGTTTGACCTCGATACCGCGCATGCGATGCTTGCAGGCGTGACTGTGTGGATTGAGGCAGGGGTCAAGACGCCCACAAGGGACAGGCACGTCATGGGTTGAACGCACACTGTACGCTCGCCTGTGTCAAGGGCCCCCGCGCTCTGGACCAGCCTCGCTGCTTCTGCAGCCTGCGCACAGCCTCAACCTCTCCTCGGCAGGTCTCTCAATCTGTGACCTGCACTGCAGGTGGCACCCAGCATCCTCACTCCTGGCTCCTGCCCTCTCAAAACCCAGCACCGGACATGCATTTCCACAATCCAGGCCCAATCAAAACCTGCAAATGCCACCAAAACCGCAGCTGACCCACCGGCCGCCGCTAGAGGCCTCGCTGGCCTGCAGCTTCCTGGTTGAGGGTGTCGTTGCCTGGCACTGGAGCATGCCCGCGAGGTGCTGTCTGACGACGCGGCGGGCCGCAGACAGTTTTTTGCTAGTTGTGCATGGGCGGGGCCTGGCGGCAGGGCAGCAGCTGACGGAGGCGCCAAGAAGCGGACAGGCACTTCTGTCATGCATCCAAGGACAGCGATCGCCGTCGCCTGCACTCACCAGATGGTCACGGCACCTCTGCAGTGACCCTGTGTGTGACTCAGGGCAGATAGAATGAAACGGCTTCACGTATAGCTGCGAGCAAATCTCGCGGGACTTCAGACTGTGCTGTCGGCGCGTGGATGTAATGCAATATCGCAGTCCTGGAGATCATGCGCACGAGGCTCGCAGCCCTGTCTTCAAACGTTAACGTCCATTTGGGGGCAAGCTTTGGATAATTCCCGTCTCCTTTTAGCAATAATCGGGACCACCGCAGCACTTGCCGGGACTGTCCATGTCTAACAGAGGCACATCAAGGAGCACAACTTACGTGAATGACTGTGGTAGCACGCTCTCGCCCCAGAGCGCCCAACCCAGCGTTGTTGCGCGGCGGCGGCAAGGGCAGTGATTGCAGCACTCCCACCGCCGAGGCGTGCCTAGCACAGCTGCATCCGACATCCTCATCGGCCCCGCCCTCATGGCCCTGCCGCCGCGCCTCGGCGGCGGCGAGCGCAGCTGGGGCCCGTGCCGCGACAGCGCGCTCCTGTGGACGTGCGTGACCTGGGGGGGGGGGAGCTGCAAGCCGGCGGGGGCTCTGCTCCCTTGGGCTGCTGTTTCGCGTCGTCCCTGCGTCATGCGCCAAGATCTTTGGCCCCCCCTGACGCTCAGCCCCCTGCGCCTTTGATGGCCGCAGCTACCTCGAGCGCGCGAGCCCAGAGGACGGCAACTGGCTGACGCAGCCGGACGCCGGCGTGGTCCTGCTCGCAGAGGGGTGAGGGGCCGCGGGGCGTCTGCGCCGGCGTGCCGGCGAGCCGCATGCGCGCCCGCGCCCCGCATGCGAAGCCGGTGCGCGGGCCTGCCGGCGCCGCATGCGAGCTGCATGCGGGGCGCGGGCGTGCATGCAAAGCTGGTGCGAGGGCCTGCGCCGCATGCGTGCAAGGGGACTGACCTGGCGTGCGAGTTGAGCTGCCAGAGGCGGCTTGAGGCCCTGCAACCGGCCCGGCGCTATCTTGCCACTCCTGGCTGTGCTGGGACGCAGGCTGGACGCGACAGCACAGACGGCGCAGGCCAACGGCTGGCCCGGATGCATGGCTGCGGCGGGGCCAGAGGGGCTGGTCTGGGCGCCGCCGCCGCCGCTGCACACGCTCTGCAGGGAGCGCGGCGGCGGCGCGGCGCGCGGCGGCTGCGGCGCGCGGCCGCTCCCCCTGCGTGAGTCAACGCCGCACGGGGAGTGAGTTGGGATGAATTGCGTGCAGGCGGCTGAATCTATGACTTGCCACCATATCAGGGGGGCTGACCAGCTCGTGGGGGCTCCTGCTGTGCAGTGCCGCGTGGCGGCAGCCCCAGCGCTTGATGTGCGCATCCCACCTGTCGGGCTTGTTCCAAATCTCCCCCAACCTCCTGCCCGTTCCCCTGCCCTGGCTTCCCAACCCCAGGCGCCGTAGAGCATGCGGAGGTCCTCAGCATCCGGCTCGTGAGGCTGCTGGGCGCGTGGCAGGGGGAGGAGGGCGAGGCCGCCCTGCAGCACGGCGCTCTGCAGCTCAAGGTGGGCGCCGCCCGTCCCTCCGCACCCTTGACCACAAGCGAGCCGCGGCGCCGAGACGCACCTGCGCTCCCGCTTTTCGCGCCTGTGGGCGCGTCGCTGATCTGTGCTGACGAGCGCCGCCGCGCCCGCGCTCGCGCCCGCGGCTGCGCGCAGTCGAGCCACCGATTCCCCGTGGATGTGGCAAAGGCACTTCTATCGGCCGGCGCCCTCGTCACGCTGCGCCGCCTGCGCGGCGGGCCCGCGGCGGCCGGCGCGGCGTCGCCCCCGCTGCAGCTGCGGCTGCTATACCCGCTCTCAGTCTCGCTGCTGCAGCACGACTGCATCGTGCCGCGGTGAGGGCTTGGGTGGTGCACGTGCCCGCGCGCATGCTTGGCTTATGGACGTGGGCCGGTGCAGGCAGTCGGGCCGCGGCAGCAGGCGGGGCGCAGTCGATCCCTGGAATTTCCTACCCCTGTCAAGTGCGTTGTGGGACTGTGCGGCATCATGCCATTCAAGCATTGTGCAGCGTCGCAGCCACGACCTGGCGACAGCATTTCGGAGGCCGATTTTGCCCTGCTCGCGGCGCCCGCTGTCAACAACCCCGCCAGGGGCCTGTACCTGCGCCGCGTGGCGCAGCCGCTCGGCATCGGGGCGCAGGTCAAGATGTTGTGGAAGGTGCGCAAGGGGCACAGGCTGGAATTTGTCACCCGCACGCCTGGGGCCTTCATGTGCGACCTGAAGCCTGAAGCCCCCGCCGCGCCCCTCGCGCTTCGCGGGGCGCTGCCAGCGCGGCGGGATGGGGCAAGGCTTGCATCGGACGGGGACAAAATCCAGACTGCTGCGCCGCATTTTTGGGGAGGGGGCAATTCAGGGGCAGAGGGGTGGGGGCCCGATGGCAGCCGTGCGGGTTCGGGCGGCCTCGCGTCACCGCACGGGGCGTGCGCACCCCGCCAGGCTTGCGCATGGCTGCCCACCTCAGCCTTGAGAACGGCGAACCTGTTGTCAATGCACACCCGGGAATCGATGACATCATGCGATCTCCTCTGTCAACCCCAGAACGACAACGCGCTGGCTTACACCTGGTATGGCGGTGTTGTGGTCGGCGAGCGGCAGCGGGCGGAGGGCGACCCCTGGGCCGGCGCCGGCTCGCCGTGGCGGCGGTGGGAGGTGACGTGGCACGGCTTCGAGGTGAGTCATGCGAGCCCCCGCCCGGCCGCCGCATGCCGCACGCCGCACTCCGCACGCCGCAAGGCGCCCGCGGTCGCACCTGCGGCACGCGCCCGAAGCTTTCTTTCTCGAGGGAAGGGCGGGCGCGTGCGGCGCCGAGCCCGCCGCGACGCCTTCCGCTGCGGCCTGCTTCGGCTGCCAACGCGGCTGCGCTATCCTGCATGGCTGCCAAGCCTGCGGCCCCGTCCACGCCCTGGTCTGCCTCGCCAGGACAATGCTGTTGCCGAGGAGGAGCGGTTTGTGCACGGGTGGGAGCTGGTAGAGGAGGGCTGCTGGGCTTGGGACAAGCAGGAGGGGCAGCCGCAGCGCCCACGCGCCGCGGCGGGGGCTGCGGCCGCAGAGCACTCGGACGACGACTTGGGCGCGCGGCGGCAGGGCCAGCGCAGGTGAGAGGGAAGGAAACTAGTATTTGCACGTTCGACTACAATCAGTGCAGAGGGGCAGTATCTGTGTGTGTGTGTGTGTTGTGAGGACTCTGCTGCTCAAAAGCTGCCGTCAGCTCTTCCCCTTGCCTGGTCGCTCACGTTGCGACGGCCGCCCTTGTTGATGCTCGCCATCCGCACGTCCAGGCGGCGGCGCCCGCGCCACAACCTCGACGGCCTCGCCTCGGACGCCTCCGCCGAGTCCCTCGGACCCTCCGACGCCGCCGGCAGCGACGGCGGCGCCGCGCCGCAGCCCCGGGCGCGCGCGCACCCCCGGCGCGCGCC